CTGTCTCCATCTCCAGGTGCACACAGCAACGTTAACAGTCTGAGTAATGACTGATAAATGTACACAAGCGTTTTCACCTAACGTTCATACTGCATAGCAGCATTGCAAAAAGAAAAACAAAAAACCAAAACAAACAGAAAAGACCTATTGTTGCTGTAGGACACAAAATGATTCACACAGACACCACTTAATGTATGATAGGGAAAAAAGAGCAATTTATTCTGTGGCTTCAATATTTATGGATTCTTGACAATGACCAGGGATTGGATAGTTAGGGTACCACCTTCTCAATCACACTGGTCACGAGAAACATCCATCAAAAGATGTTTCTTTAATGGAATGTATAAACATCTATGTTTTTAGTTACTTTCCTAGGAAAATGGTTAGAAACTATGAAGACAAAAGTTTAATTTTCAGAGTGACAGACGTAGGAGTCCTGGCAGATAATAAAGTGATCATGAGCCAGCAATGTGCTACTGCAGCCATGGAGGCCATCAGCATCCTGGGCTGCACTAGGCAGAGTCAGCAGTCTGAGAGAAGGGATTCTTCCCTCTACTCAGCTCTGGTGACATACATGTGGAGTACTGTGTTCAGTTCTTGGTCTTCCAGTTCAGAGTGACACAAAAATCCTGGAGAATGTCCAGCAAAACGTTATGGAGATGACCAAGGGACCGAGGCATCTGACATATGAGAGGCTGGTAGAGCTGGGGTTGTTGAGCCAGGAGGAGAGAAGGCTCAGTGTGCACAAACAGCTAAGGAGGAAGATAAGAAGATGGAGCCAGGCTCCCAGTAGTATCCAGTGACAGGACAAATGGCAGTGGACAGAAACTGGAATACACAAAATTCTATTTAAACACAAGGGAAAAAAAATAAAAAAAATCCCATGGTAGTGGTCAGACACTCAAACAACTTACCCAGAGGTTTCAGTGACTGTTCTCAGGAATAATCAATGCCCATGAACAACTTGCTGTAGCTGACCCTACTCCCCTACTCTAAACAGCAGGGATTAATTAGATGATCTCTAGAGTCCTTTCAAGCCTTGACTGTTCTGCAAGTCTCATATACAAGTACATGCATGAGCATGCACTTTTTGCATATTCTCCATATAAATAATTAAATATTATAGGACTGAGCTCTCAGTGTGACTATAATGTTGCCAAACACTTTAGACATATATTTTATATTATTTTTATGAAAAGTGCATGTCGTATTTGTCTACAGAATGTTCTGACTAACAGACATACACAAGGACATTTTCTGGGAGTAAGAACTTCCAGTACTTTCAAGTAAAGAAAACTCATTGTCTGCTTTCAGGGCAGATAGAGGACACTGCTGGTGTCCTAGATTTACCTTACAGCTCTCAAATCTCCACAAAACCACACAAATAGTATAGTCCACTGAAAAAGAAAAAAAAAAAAGTTACAAATTCATTCTTTTATAACAAAATAATGAAATCAGATATCTTTGCTCAGTGTTAGAAGTGGCCCCTAACACCAATCAGAGAGAAGAAAACACGAATAAACACCAGTCTCTCTCTCTCCTGCACTGTTCTTTATTTTACTTCAAAGACTAGAGAAAATGGAATAAATCAGAGCCTGATGTTCAGCTTCTGACACTCTACTAGACTTTTCCTCTGCCTTCTAAGCTAGAGAATTTTATTTTTGTTAGGCAAGGTATTGCCACAACACAGTAGTAGCTTACTATACATATTTCTTAATCTTGTAGGAAAGAGTAAATATCCTCTTGTACTCAAAATGTAAGGTCGTTTATCTGAATTTCTCTTTGCTTGCTTACATCACATTAGAGACATGTGGGCAGATGAAAGATTTTATTTTTCTTTTTTTCCAGGTTCTCTTCCCACATGGCTTTTCCTTCAAAAAATTCCCTTTATATGTTGGAGCAAAAAGATAAATTGCTATAATTAAGCATCTCCTCTTCAGATTTTTCTCTCTTCTTTAATATGTAATATGATTTTTATTCAGTGAAAGGATTTTCTTCAGAGACAAAAATCCAAATGATGGGATATCACAAAGGCAGTGTGGCATTTTCCATGAGGAGAAATCAAGAATATATCCTTAAGCACTGTTAACTTTTCTTTCTTTGGAAGAGTCCTTTCCTTAGGGGGAAGACATAAGTTAGTTGGATTTGTTCTATTCAGAACAGTGACAGTGCATTAAAGCCCAGTGGTTAAGATTTTCACTAAGAAAACAGAAGATATGGTTTACCTCAGGAGTGAGATCTCACCTCTTGTTTGTCAAAAGAATACTCTGACCTGTAAACCACAGGATGAGGAACGGAAAGGGCAAGCAGAAGTGTTACCTGCTGTGTCTTATTTCTCCAGCTACAACTGAATTATTTCAGAATGATGACTGTGAGAGTCAGAGGACTGGTGACATGGGACAAATGACAGTGATTCCTATAGCTTAGTGAGCATTCAGCTCACTAAGAACATTCAGCAGAACATTCAGCAGGGACATGACAGATCACAGCTGTAGGTTTTGCTCCCTGTATTACTGGTATGGTGCATTTCATTGCTTATTTTTATTATTATTTTTTGACAGAATGGCAAATGACAAAGCTAATGCCTCATTCCACCAACAATAGTGTGGAGGTCAGGATGGCAATGCACTGTATAATGCTATTGTGTTCATGTTTCAGGATCAAAAACTGTGTGAGGAAGCTGTTTCTAAAGATCAGATGTTAAAAGTTTACCCTCTCTGTTTGTTTGCCTGCTCTTTCAAAGTCTGCTGGATCATCCCTTCTATTCAGATTTTTCTTTTATTAAGCTCTGCATTCACTGAAAGTTGTATTAAATCTAGAAGAGTTGGATTCTTCTCTGTTTGTTAAAGTACAGAATTGCTCCTTTAAATGCATTTTGAAACTGCTGCATCTATGTCCATCCAGTGTTTCACAGGATTGTTGAGGTTGAAATGGACTTGAGGAGACCTTCCAGTCCAGCCCCCTTACTGCAACAGGATCACTTAGAGCAGGTCACTCAGGACTACCCAGTGGGCTTTGAATATCCCCAAGGATAGAGACTCCACAACCTCTCTGGAAAACCTCGCCCAGTGCTCAGTCACTCCCACACGCAAAAGAAAAGTGACTGTGATCGGGTTAAATCTCATGGGATTTTTTAAATTTGTGTCTATTTTATCTGGGCCTGTCAGTGGATAGCAGTGAGAAGAGCCTGGTTTCTGCATCTTCTTTCTCTCCTGCTGGTTATTTTCTTTAGCCTTCACTTATTCAGGTTAAACTATCACAGTTCTCTCAGCCTTTCCTTATAGGAGAGATGCTCTCATACCTTTGTGACCTTTGTGGTCCTGCACTGGAACCACTTCAATAAGAACATATCTGTTTTTACTGGGGAGCCAAGACCTGGACCCAGAACTCCTCAGTGCTGAGCAGAGTGCAAGAATCACCTTCCTCTGCTGTCAGCATTCCACCTTCCAAGGGCTTCAGGTGGGAGACTCCTGGATCTTCCTTCTTCCAACAGCCACAATTTCTTTCTTATGTAACATATTATCTTGTATTATTTTCTCTATACTGCAATTCAGAGGTAGAAACACCGGCAGAAAAGAGCATTATAAAAATAAATTTGTCTGTTTATGTGAACTCCTGACCTTTCTGTTTGCCTGAGGAGACAGACCCTGTCACTTTGCATCAGTGATTATGTCTGTACTGCTATTTTAACAGTGCCTGGGAGTGTGCATAGGCACTGGAAAATCCCTGTTATATCATTAGTTCTTCAGGATGGATGTGGTACTGTCTAGGCCACCTTGTACTCTCCCAAATATTGTCCAGGCAGAATTCAAATGGAAAGAAACAGTGTATGACCATTCTCATTACTTGGTTTACATACAGCTCAACTTCTTTTAGGGCTAAAAAAAATTGATAATAGAAAACGTAAGTTTAATGACAAAGAATTGTCTAATAATTAATAATTAATTTACTAATTGAGATATAGGCAATGTTTTGTTTGTCTGTTTCCAAACAAGGTTTTTGGAAACAAAATCATAAAGGTCAGGGTGAAAAAATAACAACAGAGTTTCATCCACATTTTACCCTTTTTAATACAAAATATGTTTCAGGATTGGCCAAAGTTTGGCATAATTCAACAATCTTGTTATCACCTGCAAGGTCAAAGACGTTGCAACCAGTCTAAATATTGACATACAATAAACTGCAAATGACTGATGGTTTCTGCACCTGCTTCACTTGTAATAATTATTTTCTGTAAAGAAGCATAGTTAAAAACATACCAGATCAAAGAAATTAAGATTGTAAACCAAAATAGTCGTCATTTTTTATGCTCTTCTATATGCCTAGAGTGTTTTCGCATAAAAGACTTGATCTTAAGTATATCTTTGACTAGAATATTATGGAAGTAAACTAAAAATATAGGGAACATTTATATACAGCAACAGAGAAACTTAGCCTGTGATGTTTATCACCATGTAGACTCTTCAGAAAGAGAATGTGAAGCCTCTGAGATTTGAAAAGATGTGAATATACTAAAAAAATACTTCTGATCAATATCAAGTTCATCAACTTGCCTCTGAACTTTTTCTGGTGTCTCAGTATTTAGCAATAATTCTTCTTAATCTCTTGGAACAGATGAAAATGGAAAGGTAATTGCTTCTAGTAACAAAAATAAAAAGAATTCTGACGTAAATCTGTGTTTTCAGCTAGGTCTGCCTTAGCCATACACATTTCTTCATTCCATTAGGAAATTACTGGTTTTGCAAGTTTGTTCCTTTTCAAATTTCTCTTTAGTATGTCAGAGGGAAGTTATGAGAATGTGTAGGGCACCAGTGAATCCATATTTCAGACTTTTTCTGATAATGCAGTCACAATACTCCTTAGAGTTTCAAAGCAACACAAACTACAGGTTTCCATGAGAGATGGAAAAACATTCAATAGTTTTATTTGCCAAACACAGCAAGCACATGCTCTTGTGTAGACCAGAGGGAAAATCAAAAATTATATAATGGACAGAGATAAAGATTTGAGTTTGTTTTATTCCCTCTGTCATTTACATATAAATATGTATCTATATAAAAGAATGCTTAAGTCACTGCTGAATATAGAAAAATACGATTACACAAGTGTGAGCTATATAACATCCATCTAACAGGAAAAGGTAAAAACACTGGCCAGAGAAAGCAGTTCTCTTCTCTTGAAGTGATTTGGATCTGCAGAACTTGCATCCATATGAATAAACTTTCTTACACTTCAAAATATCATGGCATCAGGCAAGTCAGCAACGGGCAATTATTCCTGGCTCACAGAAACTCTCAGGGCATTCCAGGGTCTGCAGGTGAGAAAAATAGTTGTCTTCAGAAAAACACAAAACAAAACAAACAAAAAAAAACCCTACCTCAAAAGTACAAACAATTTATCAGCACAGACAATTCACTTCAGAACCTGGGAAACCATTAGTTTAAAAACAGAGTTTATGGTGTAAAGGAGAGTTTGTTATAACAGTGTATTGGAAAATGGTCTGAGGGAATAGTGGAAATTTTTAGGCATTCTTACTTAGCAGATCATGGGAATCATAGAGAAGCATTTGAGTAACCTGTCCTCTTGAGAAGAAGTTTCCTCATTGGTTTCCAATGAGAAAGAAATCAGTCTTCTGAATAAAAACCTCCGAGTATCAAGCCCAAGCACATACCTAAACTTCCCACCCACTGTTTTGCTAGGACTGTACTGTACTACTGATGTAGTAATTATCCAAGGAACATGCATTTCATTTCAGGAGACAAGGAGCAGCTCCCAAAACAATTTCATTAATGCCCTGTATCAAACTGAACTATACATGGTAGCTTTGTCTCAAATTCCATCTAGATAAGCAAATCAGTTTATATGTTTCCCTTTCCTATTAAAGTGATGAAATCAAAAATAGGGTTTCTTTTTTACATTTTATATCAGTAATAGCCTTTTGATGATACTTGTCATCCTGCAGTGAAGTGTAAACACAATAAATTTAAATGTAGTGTGAAGATAATCTAAACTAAAAATGAAATAATATTTTCTTCTTCCATATCATCAGAAAGTCTATTGTTGCATGAGACAGGAATGCAATAACATCCCATACAATATTAAATATATGTATTTTAATATAGCTCAGAAGTTCACACAAATTGCATTTTTTGGTGATATAAAGCATAAACACTTTGAGAAAATAATCATATTACTGAGAGAAGTTGTTTTGGGGGTGAATTTTCTGCAAAAATATTTTCCTTGCTAAAAAACATAAAACACTAAAGAAATGCAGGAATAATGAAAATTCTTTTTTCTGTCCTGTGAACTTCATGATACAATCCAATGTTCCAATGAAAGAAAATAGATGACTTCAGAATAATAAAGCAATGTTTAAGGCCCTAATCTAATAACAGTGGAAGTAGAAATCTATAAAAATCTAAAACATGGAGTAGAAAAGGAATAAGGAGAAAGATGCATATAGGTATCTTGGGGAAAAAAGATCACCTATTTCAGCTATTTGAATCTGCATATTTACATGTTTCACAACTCCTAAATAATTTTTTATTCCTTTCTACAAGAATGTCCTGGACTCTTCCTGAGCAAGACTTCTCTCTCTCTAACAACAGGGTATGCCAACTACATTGTGTATTTGTGATTTGTAAGACATTTATAAAAGTGAAATTACAATCTATTAAGCCAAATACTCATTTGCTATGCAAATCCTCAGTGTCTTATGTGTTGATACAAAATACTTTTTTTTCCAGTTTCTTGACAATCACTCTTTTGCTGCTGCTGTTCTGTATCTTAACTTCATTTTACCTTCTTCTAAACATGTTTACCCATGGCTTGGAAAAATGTCAAATAGGAGTTTCACTGCTTTCATCTCATCAGGTGTTTAAAGAGAATAAATTCAATTCCTAGGGACAGTGGCCACTGTTGTGTGGGAGCTAACAGTGTATCCACCTACTACATATTCTTTATTCAGATGACTTCCAGCTTTTTTTATAAGCCCTGAAAGAGCAATGCAACACTGACAGTAATAAAAATGGAACTTAACCTTCAGTTCACAGCTGTAAGGAAGAGTCAGGGATACTATGGAATCAGTGCAGTACGGGAACTGCAGGAACTGTGGGAAATATCAGTGTGTTTCTTGATGAATTCTCCTTGAATATGAGTAATGTTGGCGATACCCCACAGCAAAATTGTTCCAATGATACGCCAACTCAAATGTGTAGTCAGCCATTCTTCCTAAGGAGGAGAAGTGGATTGCCCAGGCTTCATCACTAATTCATTTCATTTTGCTCACAGACACAGAAAATCTTTCAAGTCTGCTATTCCAAAAGCTGTGCATTACCCCATGTGTAGCTACAAACTCAAACTAAAAAATCTTTTCAGCTCTTTCTTCCCTTGTGTTAGCAATTTGTCTTTATGTACTCTGTCCTACTTTACTTTTCCCAACTTTAAACTATTTTATTAATATTAGTAGCCACCATAATGCAATTTTGTTGATCTGCATAGGGTATATTTTCTTCGTCTCAAACAGGTGTACTGCAGAATTTATAATATTTTATTTTGGTTATTTTTGCCTAAAAGATTTAGAGAGAGAGTTATATTATGTTTCTGCCTATATAGCTCATAATGTTTGCTTTCCTAAAACTAATGAATTCAAGAGAAGAACTGCATTTTTTCTACATTCTGATGTTTAATTTACGTTTGATTTGTACAGTCCTCCAGCATCAAAGAGTGCACCAATACTTGCAATGCGCCACCTTAGCCATATACATTTATTTTATTAGAATTGTAATACAGGTTAGTTTCTGTTGCAGCCTCGTAAAACTATTGCTTTTTGCTCTTTCATTTCAAGATGCTCACAACCAATGATCAGGTTCATTCTGGTATATTGCTGAGGGATTTTTATGAGTTTTACATTAGGATTACAAAGAAATGATCAGTTTCAAGACAAAGAGATGAATGGGGAATGAAGGATGATTTCTTTTACTCTCAAGTATTTGAGGAGAAAGAAAAATCAGTTTTGGTAATACAATTCTGTTTGAGATATTTAGATATCTGGATACATGCAAGCAGGCACATAAGGGTCTGGATTACCATTACAGACACAAAACTTGATTCAATGTTTTTAGTATCTATAATTGTCTGAGAAGACCCACAGTATCTCACTTGGCTTGCATGCAGATCCAGAAGGATGCAGGCTACAGGATATCCTGTAGTTCTTGTCTCATGCTGTCATACATGTCAGCTATCCCACGTGTCTGATTCTCTATGGCCTCCCAGCTGACATCACAGGCCCAAGTTCAGGTTTTTTGTAAAATCAATAGGATTTTACAGCAGGATCAAGACAAGCAGTTGGACCTAGAATACAGGTCAGCAATCAACCACCAGGAATGGAACTCGATTGCTTGCAGGCAAGAATTTATGCCCTAAAGTAGCCAAGGTACACGGATACTGCAGTTTTGACAAAGGACTTAAAGCAGACTCAGGTTCTTGTGTCAACTGGAGTCCTGGGAAATTGTTACAGGGTGTCACAAGGATCACTGAATATTTACAGTTAGGCAAGGATTTGTGCCCCATATTGGACTGGACTGAATTCTTAACTCCTTAATTCTGAGCTCTTAACTCCTACTTTGAGCATAATTACCAGGGTAATGTTGGATATTATGAATGACCCATTCTGGAGTGCCCCTGGTCTCAATTCAGCTTTCTACACACAATTTTCTGGTGCTATTTGACTCATGCCCAGTAGTCTAATATGTATGCACAGAGGTAGTAGTCATGACATGGGAAATACAGGGACATTGGTCCTCTCTCTAGGCATACAGCAGAGTCTAGGACATCTTAAATGACATTTAAGATGCCTCTTAAATCCATTAGATGAAACCTGATCATTGGTAGTGAGAATATTACTGAAATGTAAGAGAAAAAACAATCATTGTGCAAAGCTTCAACAGAAACTAACCTGTACTACAAACAATCATTGTGCAAAGCTTCAACAGAAACTAACCTGTACTACAATTCCAGAAAGGTAAATTCAAATAGCTAATTAATGGCCAGCATTGTCACCAGTCTGGGAAATTGAAAGGAATTTTCTGCACCTGCAACACCTGAAAATTAGTTTTATTAATCTATAAACTCTTTATATATAGAGGAAAAAAAAATTATAAGTCAAGATGTTTGGATCAAATTCAGAATTCCAAGTACTATTAAGAAAGTGTTCTGTATTGTGAAAGATGTTTGGATCAAATTCAGAATTCCAAGTACTATTAAGAAAGTGTTCTGTATTGTGATTTTAATATCACTGCAGAAATTTGACATTATGAAAAAGGAAACAGGTACAGAATTACAATAACTATTAAAGTCACATAGAATGGTTTCTCATATCCTGTAATAATAACAACAATCTAAGTAAAAATTAGAATTTCATGTGGATTCATCTTCATTCAAAATGATGAATCAATTTGAAGAATTCCGAGAATTGTCAGGGCACCTTTCTGAAAACATGTAAGTTATGATTACTGATAAAAAAAAGAATAAATAAATAAAGACTCATTGATCAAAACTAAAACCTGCTTATTTGTTCAGATGTTCCTTGGGTTTTGTTGGGAAAGCACACAGAGGCCATGTCTCATGACAGAAAATGTACATTATTTTGTTAAAAATTCATATATTTGCACTTTCAATCCTGAAATTTATTCATCAAATATCTGCTTGGAAATACTTCCAGTTTTTAGTTTAGTGGAAATTTAGGTCAGATTCTGTGGTGTGTTCTGAAAAACAGGGTAGTTTTAGACATCCCTTTCATTTTGAATGTCTGCTGTTGTGAGGTGCCTCAGGGAGGCAAAACTTTAGTTTCAGAGAAGCATTGTTAAAGTGAGAGGCATGGCTGTAAGCCAAACTAGTGTGAATTTTGACCTCCTGTGTTGGACATGTGAGCCCTGGATGAAGTTACCCCACCCCAAACCCCTTGGGAGGAGTGGCCCAGGAGTTCTGACTGGGTTTGAGTCCCTGGAGTTTCCCCTTTGTGTTTCTAGCGGTCCCTGACCCTGAACTCCACCCTCAAAGGTGGAGACCCCCAAGGGCTCTGTCCCTCAAAACCCATCACCCTGCCTTTGTTCAGGGTTCCCTGTCTCTGGAGGACAGTTTGTTCCCATGCTGAATAAATGGTTTCAAGAACAGAGGCCCCTCTGGTTTGTATTTCATGCTGGTTCCCAGAAACTGTGGCTTCCCTGGACTTGATCCTGCAGTTGCAGACTGTAACAGTCTGCCTACAGGCCTGAGAAATCTGCTGTGCTTGCTGCTATTACACATCTTGGCTAACATTTCTGGGACTAAGAATGGGGTAAATTTCTTAGAATACTCCTAAGGAGTCACCACATTAAAGTTCTCAGTATTTCTCCTCAATGCCTGACATTCTGCAAACCTCACACTGCACCAATGAGAATGAAAAACTCAGAGTTAAAAGGTAATCACAATTTGAAAATAAGACTACCAATTTAATTCCTCAGTAAACAGAGGAAGTAAGTCTCTGTGACTATTACCAGCTGTAAGTGGAACTTTCTTTTCTTAAAAAAAAATAAAATAATTAAATTTATTGTCTAGAGGTTGTGTGGACAATGTTTTAGAAATATGATTTGACCTACTTTTGTTCATATTAGTAATAGAAGTTAACATCACAGTGGTCCTTGATGAGGATTTGGAGAAGACAGAGTGAAGAACTGGGCTAAGTCATCATATTGAATTGAATTCCACAACCTAACACTTTCAAGCTATTGATAGAAGGCACAAAATACACAAGAAAAAGCAAAATTTATTTTCCCTAGGTGACATTTGAATGTAATCTCTTATTAATATAAATCTTAAAATATAACTGGGTCATTAAGTGAAAATTTAATAAAAAAAAATTATTCTTGTCTGTAACATAAAGCACATTTCTAAAGCAATTAGTTTATCTTTTTAGAGTTGCTACAGATAATTTTTTTTTAATCCAATAATATTTAGCAAGTTTTGGTTTTTTGGTTTGTTTTTTTGGTTTTGTTTTGGTTTGGGTTTTTTTTTTTTGTTTTTGTTGTTTATAATTTTTGGAAGATCTCTTATTTTATTATGTCTAGGTTTGGTCTTGTCTATCCTTTTTCTGGCAACTTTCTCTCAATTCTCACTAGATTTCTTGACTTTGACTTTTGGCATTTTGTAAAGTAAGGCACCAGGGTTTCAGATTATGAAAAAAAATATTATTATATCATAATTTTTTTAAAAAAAAGCCCGTAGAGAAAACTACAGATTCTTGGAGCATCTTCTTAGAATTGAATTACCTGTTAGTACCTTTAGCTTCTTTGAGACCAGACTCAATGAAAGTGTTCATAAGACTCAAACCTTCTTGCTTTTCACTTCAGCTGCAAGCTATACTTCTCTGAAGTTACTTTCACTGGCCTAGATGTAAAAGAAAATGAACATATGAAAAATTAAAACACAGAGCTGTATCAAAACACTGAAATGTTAATATTGACAGAAAGTGAGATGGAGAGGGAGAGGACTGCATCTGGCAGACAGTCAGCTCGCTGCTTAGTGCTTCCAGGGTCTGAGGGGGTGCTGCAGTCTGGACTAGAACTACAGCCAATTAGCAAACTTGACTGAGTTTAAAAGAGCCTCATCATTAAACCAAACTACAAGAGCTGCATCATGAAGACACACATCCCTAAAGGGGAGAAGATACTGTCATGGAAAAAGAAGTGGCTGATGTGCTTTCAATAAAAACAAAAAAATAAACAAAAACCCCCAAACAAAACAACAAACAAAACCAAACAAACAAACAAACAAAAACCTTAGGGGAATAATCCACAAATGTAACAACATAATTACCAAATATAATACTGATGCCACCCACATCACAATTCACACCCTGCCACACCCTGATTCACAGCAGCTTTGACATCTTTAATTTTGCTTGTGTTTTTAGTGCATTTCTGAGAACATCTGTATTTGTTTTTTTATTCCCAATATAAAGTCTATCAGATATCCCACAGCAACCTCTGTGCCCAGTTTCAATTACAATGAAAACCTGAAGATACTGTAATCTTATATTCTTTGCTCGAGAAATTTGGTGGAAAACGCTTCGACTTAAAGAGTAATTATATATTAGGGCCCACATTACTTTTCAGCTACAATATGGAGATTTTTCTGCCATCAAACATGAAGTGCTATACAACACATGGAATTTTAGAACTCAGATTACCAGCATTGTGGAGCAGAACACTGGTGTGTCTTATATTTAAGAAAAATATAATTTATTAATTTATACATGAGGTTTTTCTGTTAAGCATTTATGAAATCTGTCTTCCTACTTACCTTTAGTTATCAGCACCACAAATAAAATCACAGTTAAATATTCTTACCATAATTTCATATAATTATATACTGAAGCAAATATAAAGATATATATTTTTTAAAATAATCTGTTGTTCTCCCCACTAAGGCTCTCAACCAACTGTAGGAACTGGTACTGACAGCTACACTGAACTAATCTGAAACATGGGATTCTTGGTGTTTGGGTTTTTTTCTGTGTTTAGGCCTAAACAAGCCGTGATGACTATAGAGAAGAAGTGTATTAAATAGCAGTGCCTACACTGAGGAAAATGTAGCTTTAATTTAAACATGAGAATGTTCATGTTTCATAAACTAACTTCAAGATGCACTCATAGGAAAAAAAAACCCCACCCATTTTAAATATTTCCTTTGAGTGAATAGACATAATTGAGTAGACAAAGCTTGGAGAAAAAGGCTTTCAGGTGTTACTGATACTTCAGGCAAGTACGAACTCCCTCTTGCAGCTTACAGTTTATCAGTTACAGTTATCACCTTACTGCTTTACAGCAGTCCTCAGGCTCCACATCACTGGAAGTGAACCCAGGAGCAGATCACATTAGTGGGGGAGAACTGAACCCTGAGTGCACCTTTCCCCACAGGAGCTCACTCCATCCAGAACAAATGTGCATGATTCTTTGGAAAAAAAACTAAACATGCTGTACCTTTTCCTCTCAGCAGTGGCCCGGAATGTGAACTGCATCCCACGTATTAAAAGGATTTTATCCTTTATAGACTCTATTAATGCCTTACTAAGAAAAAGATTTGATTAACTTGTGGTAAAGGACAAGCTTAAACAAAAAAGACAAGGAGGCAAGACTGTGTTCTGCTCTGAAACCTCAGATAAACTAATTTCCCTCTCAGCTTCTGAAAAATAGAACGGGAGTGATAATCAATAATGTTTCATGACCTTACAGAGATACTGTGTGCATCAATGCATGGCAATATGATGGAATCAAGTCTGTGAAGAAACTCCTAATGTCCTTATTTCTGAACTCTGCAGGAGTTTCATGGTCATAACTATCCTGAAAATTTCCATATCAAAATTACCATAAAGTTGTTGTGGTTGCTCTTGCTGTAGGCAGAGAAGGAGAAAAAAACTGAGAAAAAAAACCATTGAAAGGCAATTTTCTGAGCCACTATCTCCCATTGCTATGCACTCAAGAAAGACTTCAAAAGGCTTGTGAATTAAGCACTCCCCCCTCATGTTTTTGTAAGACATGTGCCTCCTAGGTCTGGGGCTTGCCCCACATGATGAAATTGCAGTGCCACAGTTATTCAACTTTGCAACTTTTACCGTGTTGTTGGACTTCTTGAACAAGCAGGATGAATGAGGAAAGGGGGTTGAAATGACAGTGGTTGTTCTATCTCCTTTATAATGTCCAGTAAATTCAGACTTATACAGCCAAGTGTGAAAACACTTGAACTGTAAAGCTGAAGACACTGAAAAGCTTCTGGCCATTCCCTGACTATTACTGAACTAGGAATGACTAAAATACCATAAAGCATAAATTATATGAAGTCTGCTGGATGCTAATAAATTCCTTTCTGTTTTGAGATGTTTTGAATTAATTGTGCCAACAAAAACTATTCTTTGGCATATGACAGGTATCATTTATCTCATGCAGAACTTATCAAAGAGGGAAAGGTGGAGAAATGGGTATACCTGCTGCTCTGTTCATTCTGTCCAGAGACAGGCAGAGTGAATAAAGCACTGCAGAATTTGGCAATGTGTTCTTACAGTTATAATTAATGATGACTTTGAATGAAAAATCTATGGTGCACAGAGATCATAAACTCAGAGAGGCAGCAATGATGCTGTACATTCCCAAACAATACAATTTTTAGGCTTACTTCCTAACACAGAACATTTCCACACTGGCAATCCCAGCTATGTCCTGTAAATCAGTACAGATAATGTACTTCAAATTTTGGCAACTTCCCAGGAAGACTATGCAGCTCATTGCTGAAGAACATAAAATATAAATTGAATGTGAGACCTTGTTTTGAGGAGCTTAATGCTTTCCACTGCTGCTAGATGTACTCACACATTCCACCTGACCTTTCTTAGCTTTCACAGCAAGAGGGACTAGCTTGTATGTGCCACCCGCATTGTCCCTTTTATCCATCCCACCAGAAGTTTAGGTAGCTGAAAATTAGAGCAACATGAAGCTCCAGGGAATGAATTCACAAGCAATGATATTAAATTTTCTTTCAATCTGATGGCCCATGGAGCTTTGACACTTGGATTTCAGATAAAGCCTCATCAAAATGCCCTCACAGGGGGCTGGTCCAGGGAAGAGGCAAAGGACAAGGCTGATACCAGGTAATTCTAATTCTTTCCTTATTCCCTCTACAAGTCATCTTCTAGGAGAAAATAATTTTTCTGGGGAAAGAAGAAGGAATTCTCAATTAGGACAAAAATATACAAGGTAGCTGAATTTGCTGAGCCACCTGCATGAGCAGAAGAAACTTAGTTCAAGGTTTTGAGATGTAGATTTCTAAATTATCCAAATACTCTTAAAATTCATGAAGTGGGAGGTGGCAGATACTTTTGAGAAAGTCTCGGTTGCTAAGGTTTGCTTTTAGCCATGTACCCTTCCTCAAGTCAAGATTCTTCATACAGACTGATTGCATTCTATATTCACAGCATGCAGAACACAAGTGGATTGTTTATATTTGAACCCTTTGGCATCCTGTCTCGGGTTGCAATGCAAGATATAACCAAAAGTATGAATTCTATTAACATCTGTTAAAACCAGGTGGGGCAGTGTTCTTTATCTCTTCCATTACCCATCCTCTCTCCAGGGGGATCTTCTGTTAATGGGCCATTGAGTCTCACTGCAGGACTGATAAAATGACATCATCCCATTGTGAGATGCTCCACCCAGGGGGAGGAGCCAAGCATTCCTACCTGGATATAATCTGAGACTTGGAACACCACAGGCAGCCTTTCTCCACTGGATTCCCAGAGGAAGACCAGACTCATCTACACCACTGGACCTGCAGAGGAAAACTACATCCTTCTACATGATCACTGCTTCAACAGAACCACACCTGTCACTGCAGGAGGACTGCAGCCACCATTTAATCAGACTGCTATCAACACCCGGACCAACAGGGTGTCAGGTTGTATTCTGACTCTCTCAGTGGGCTGTTTGGGTTTTTTGGTTTTTTTGGGTTTTTTTATATTACTGCATTTTAATTTAATTTTAATTTAAAAAACTGTTATTCCTATTCCCATATCTTTGCCTGAGAGCCCCTTGATTTCAAGATTGTAATAATTCGGGGTGGGTGGGGGGGTTGTTTACATTTTTTCCATTTCAAGGGAGATTTCTACCTTCCTTAGCAGACACCTATCTTTTCAAACCAAGACACATCCTAACCTACAGCTGAATTTTCTAATACTTAGAAATATTCCAACCCCTGATTTCTGATTTTCAAGGCCCAAACCAATCCAAAATATCAACCTAGTCACTCAAACAAAATAATCTATTTATCTGCTTGAGGCCTCTGCATAGAGAGATAGGTTCATAATTAAAGCAAGTTTCTGTTGTGTTTTTTACAGATATATCGCTATTCTGTAAATGACATAACAATTGTGGTGGTATTTATTTGTTGACTCCACAAGTGAAAACAAATGCATCAAATGCAAACAGAGTGTATGAATTCTCACGATATCATCCACCAAAGAGAAATCTCTTTACAAGAAAGGCAAGAGCAAAGATATTTTTACACTCCTTCCCCAAAGGAGTTTTTCATTCAATACATATTTACTTAGAGATAAAGTTCAATGGTAATAGTTATTTTACAAATAGTGTCCTGCAGTTTATGATTATTGAAGTCAACTAGTCAGCAGAGGGCACTGAAGGGAACATTATAATAGATTTTATTGATATAATCACTGCTGTCACCAACTCCTGATGGCTTGAGGCTCAGTATAAATTAAGGTCTGCAGCCCCTTGTATTTTATTAATATTCAAGCCATTTACCTGCTGTGTGTGATGAGGTTTCTTGACAGATGTTATTCTTTATTTTTCTCTCCCTCTGTGCTTTGGGTT